GTTTTGCAACCCCTGATTGTTCATCTGAACAAATTTCCAACTCCAACGAAGTTGAATGATTATGCTCCTCAATTTTATCAGAATCCCCAAGAGGGGAACCACGAACCATAGCAAGTTTATCAAATACTACATCCCTACTAACAACCACATTTCTTGTCTCAGGACACCACAATTTATACATCTTCACACCTGATTTATACCCAAAAAAGATGCATTTTCTAGATTTAGGCTCTAATTCCCATTATTCACATGAGTATAAGCAAGATATTGAAAAATCCTCAAATAAGAATAACAAATAGGTTTACCAAACCATACATCTTCTGGTGTCTTTTTATCAACGGTGGCTGATGGTAAGCGATTAATTAGAAAACAAGCAGTAGTAGTAGTTTCAGCCCAAAAAGTTTTAGGCATTCCAGAATTTGAAAGCATACAACAAACCTCAAAGTTCTATTCATATGTTCTGCTACACCATTCCGTTGAGGAGTTCCAGGAACTATCAAGTGTCTCAAGATACCTTCAGCCATACAAAAGTTATTGAATTTATCTAAACAAAACTCCAACTTATTATCTGTGTGTAGATGTTTCATCTGCTTTCCATTATGCTTTTCTACTAATATTTTCCACTCTTTGAAGGTCCCAAACATATCAATCTTCTGTTTCAAGAAGGATACCTAAACTTTTCTGGAAAAATCATCAGTCACCGCCATGCTATTCTCACTCATATGTCCAAGCGGCATATGCTAAAGTTTTGTAATATCATCATCTGTTAAAGAAGAAGTGGAAACTGATGCATTCCCAATTACTATGGAACCAAACAAAATGTACAATTGTGTAGAGCTTTTATGTCCCTTTATGACAACAAAAGCACCCCGGTTCACTTTCAAAACTCCACCTTCACCAGCTATCTATAACCTTTTAAGTGAAGTGAACTCAAACATATGAAATTCCGCTTCAATTCTGAAACATGCATTACATCTGTAAGTGTTCTGATAGCCCCCATCAAACATTTTGATTATGACTGTACCAATTCTGACAATTTTGCAAGGAGTGTTGTTTCCCATAATAACTGCACCTTTTGAAACTCTTTCATAAGTTGAAAACCAATCCCTATTGGGACACATATGAAAAATGCAAACCGAGTCAAGAACACATTCCTCATATGGTTTGGAATCCATGCTAGAATTTACAAGAAGCTTTCCTTCACTTTGCCCATTTTCTACAACATCAGCCTCCACTGTATTAACATGTTGCTTCCCTTTCTTAGTAGCACCATCAACTTTATTTCTGTTCTTCAAGGCATAGCAATCAGTTCCAATATGACCCTTATTCTTACAATAGTGACATGTTTTCTCGGCATGTCTAGATTTTGATCCGCCTCTCATATTTTTGCCAAGATTCCTATCTTGATTTCTCCCACACACAACCAAGACTTCAACATGATTCCCAGATCCACCCGCAAGATGCCCCATCTTCTCATTAGATAGTAAAGCATCATAAACCTCTTCCACGGTGAGAATATCCCGACTATAGAGAATAGTATCTCTAAAAGTCATATATGATGGCGGCAGAGAACACAACAATATCAACGCCAAGTCCTCTCATACTTAACTTCCAATATCTCCAAATCGGCCACAATTTCTTTGAATATAATTAAGTCATCATCCAATGACGCACTTTCAGACATCCGGTGAGAATACAAGCATCATTTCAAGTGAAGCTTGCAGTCAAGCTCTTTGTCAAGCAAAGTTGCTTCAACTTCAACCACAATGCAGCGGCACTTTTCTCCTTTAGAACATTCTGAAGAATTTAATTTGAAAGATGTAGATGAATTTGAGATTGGACTTTCCAATCCCTACGCTATTTTTCATCATGTGTCCAGGTAGCAGGTGTTTTATCAAAGTCAAGCAAGACTTCCTCCAAATTCATCTTCGCTAGAACCTCTCGCATCTTCATTTGCCATAAGGTAAAACTCGTGTTTCTATCCAACAACGGGATATCATACTTCATTGTCGTCATGTGGAACAATCAACCTCGCTCTGATACCACTTGTTATATAACAATAAGATACCAGAATTTATCTGATATCACTTGTTATGAATTGGATCGCAAGATAATGACGATAATGAAATAAATAAGAAGAAAATAAACACCAAGATTAACGTAGAAACCCAATATGGGGGAAAAAAAACAAAGGGTAGAGGAGGAGAAATCCACTATAATCAATAATAATTGTGTTTACATGATCTTAATGTATTCAATTGAAATATAAAGCTTTCAAAATGGATCTGGGCTAGATAAGCGGTGACTTTTTCTCCGGTCCATAATTTTGATCTATTCAAGAATACTCCAATATTCACTAGAATTTGGGTCAAATGACAACACGAGGAATCGAGGTTGTGGAGAATTAGAGAAGTCAGTGTCGTGATATCCCAAGTTCCAAATCACAAATTGTTACCTTCTCTATACATGCATATAATTAAGGAGAGCCTAGTATACACATCACATGTCCAATCTATGTTGCGACACTTCAAAACTGAAATTTATGAATATCTCGTTACATTCTTATTTTAATATTTTAAAAAAAATATTTTATTTTATAATTGCTAAATTTTAGATTTTTATTTTATTTTTGTTGAAGTGGTAAAATTAGTTTTAGGAGTTATAATCATTTTTTTTTTTTTGCCAATTATTTCATATCTATTTAAAGAGTGCCATATTAATGGATAATATATGGTCTGTATTTGGGAGTTTATTGGTAGCTAAAAATTCCAAAAAATAAAATAAAATAAAATGATTGTAACCATTTACATAATGTTTTATATAGATTGATGAAATTTTGACTGAATCAAATTTCATCGCATCATCTATTAGTAAACAAATCTATAAGTTATTATGTGCGTGTCGCAAAATTGAAAATTCAGTGGGATTCCTTGAATAAACATAATTTTCTTCTCCTCTTATTATTATTATTTTTTTTAAGTACGAACAATTTGCCTTTCTAACGCATCATCAAAAGTAAATGGATCATTTCTAAGAATGACAAACCCTATCTGGACCTATTGTCGTGATAAGGAGATTTCTTACTCATTTGGTGATCCAAGTCTATAGCCTATCTGACAAAAAAAGCAGTTGGTCCAACAGTCATTGTGAAGACTAAAGATTTACGCCGATTAAATATAAAATATTAATTTACCTGTAAAAATTTGAACAATCCTGCTTAACAACGTTTATCATTTAAAATGAAATCTTAAGTCTTTATATAATATCAGAGACATTAAGTTGAGCAATACTCTTCATTTAAAGTTCAAATGAACACTCGAATTTGAAAGTTGGTTTATTTCAAACAAGCTACCATCTCGCGAAAAATGTCAAAGGTAATGCCCCACATCAATTATGGATGAAACTATTAAATAAAACATAAAGATTTGAACTACTAAACATTAATTTTAAAGTTACTACTAAACTATCTTATAACCTCTTCAATTTAGGATGTTGCACAGCCTCCTCTCCATAGTTCTAATTTGTATTTATTTTCACCAAAATATGAATAATATCGACGAGAATGATCAATTTCTTGTTCACGTAAGAAAACAGTTAAAATTAATTCGTTCATTATAAAAATTGAGTAATGTTAATTGGCGTAGCTGGTTCTATAACATCATACTAAATAGCACTAAACGGTTTTGAATAAAAAGTCTACATAATTTAGCATACATTACATAATGTCACTGAGATGAGTTGTAACTTCAATATTGTTAGATAACGTTATTCATAACAATTAGAATCATATATTTCCAACTTCAGTGCGCATTTTTGTGGGTGCATGTTTGTAAACTGTTAAAAACATCAATCATGTTACATGTACACTCCTTTACATTAAATTTGACACTCTTCCATATGACATTCATCGTATCCCTTAATTTTTACAACACCCTATCACATCACTGATTAGATTTTGACACATAAGAAGAATCATCCAGAAGAATCACATCCCCACCCCGCTTGTCTCCATTCCTTGTTTCGAGCCATGAATTATGTCTTTTGCACATAAATAATTATTATCCATATTTTATAATCTCACATGTAATTAATTATGAGTACTTGATATCTGCTCAAACAAACAAATATATAACAAGATAATATTGATGTTGTCAAATGTATAGGTAGCGTGTTTCCTTTACAATACTTTGCATGTGTTGCATATACGGTAACTGTTGCATATACGATATCCAGTACTGAAACACTTGTCTAACCTATAAACTCTCAACACTCGTGACATCCATGTAAACTTACGAGTCATTCTATTATCCACTAGTATTTCTTGATTAATCACAAATACATAATAAATTCGTGTGCATAGTTTTGTAAAGGAAATGCTACATATTATGAATTCACTACTGTACTAGTGAATTAGACTATGAGTTAGGAAATTAAGACTATGCAGAGAAACTAGCCTTTATCTGTTTATAAATAGATAAAAATGAGTGATAAATAAATGAATATTAAACTATTGTAAACTATATGAAATTGGAGACGAGATAAGGTAATTTTGGTAAATTAAAAAATGAAGGAGTGGTCTTTAAAATTTTGAATTTTAAAATAAATAAAATTGGATATGATCCTTCCATAAGGTTGGTCATTGTAATTTGTAAATAAATCGAAATTTAAGTTTTGAAACGTTTAGATTTAGCCATTGTTTGACATTCATTTTTTTCTCATTCTCTTTCTCATTTTTTTCTATTTCTTTATTTCAACCACACATTCTATCAATAAAATAATATTACACATAAATCCAAAAAAAATTCTTACTTTTTAACCACACATTCTTCTATCAATCACTATTCTAAATCAAATTCTTACCCAGAATGGGTGTCAAACAAGAGTTTAATAAACTAATATCAAATTACTCAAAACGTTATAGTTCGGGACTAATTATGAAAGTTTCCTAAATTATATTCCTGGAACTTGGAAGAGTTTGAGAGTGCACAAGGAAGACAAAAATGGCAGCTCCAGGAAAATGCTTTCTCGTCTCTGGCCCTCCTGTATGTCTGTACACACACACAAATGCACACTTTCATATTCATTGATTGTGAAGGCGAATCACCCGTGCATTTTTTTTGCAGGGAGTGGGCAAAACAACTTTGATAATCCAAGTGCTGGAGAGCCTCAAGCAATCTAATCCCAGCTTAAAAGTCCAAGGCTTCTACACTCGTATGGACGCACCTTCTTCCTCTAGTACATATTGAGTCGGAGAATGTAAATTTTCTATTTAATCGAATTGAATTGAATTTGATAGGCGAGGTGAGAGAAGGTGCAGAAAGGATAGGATTTGAAGTTGTTACTCTCGATGGTCGTAAAGGTCTTCTTTCTTCCACCAAAATTTCTAGGTAGTTTTCTTGTTCTGCTGCCCCAACCTCTTTATTTCAAAAGTTCTTTAACATTTTATTTTTATTTATCTTCGCACTAATGGATTTCTATGAGGTTTAATGAATTTTATATATAATTAATTAATATAGATGACTGGTTTCCTGGGATTTGGGAAGCTTCTTTATTTCTCAAGCTGGGTAGAAGGGTTTTTAGGTTGGAATTCACATAATGCGTGTCAAATTTTACTCTAAGTGCACTTTATCCTATTATTTTGCTACCAGTGATCCTGTAGTTCGCTTAATGCTTCTTGTTGAAATAAATGTTAGTTGAGAATCAGAACATGACTAGAGTTGAAATTTCTTTTTAGTATTTATCTGACTTAAATTGATGTTGGTATAACCTTGAAAAATGACCTTTGATTGGAGGAACTCTGTATTTTTTCTTTTTCCCTTTTCTTTTCCTTGTTTGTCAAAAGGATTCATAAACCCTCACACTGTGAATACTTGAAGATTTATCAAGGTAGATATATGATCTCTCTGTTACTTAATGTCTTTCTTTTAAGAAATTCATTTAAAAAGGATCAAGTTTGAGAGAGAAATGAAAAACAGCACAAATTACTAATTATATGTAGAATGACCTCTTTTTAGTTGATATTTTTAGAACACCTTCATTTATCTTCTTTCTCATCCATACCCACCCTCTTCTTCCTCACTCATCCTTCGCCCTGCTATCCTAGCCCCACCTTGCGTCTGTGTTCCAGTTCCCCTTCCTCTCCCATGTCTACCCACTTTTTCCTCCTTGATCTCTCCATTTCTCCCACTTGAGAGCTCAGTAGACTCTCGAGCTCTCAATAGGGGAAAGGAGAGAGAGGTAGGAAGGGAAAAGGGTAGAAATGGAGATATGAAAGGGGAGGTATCGAGAGTGCAAGGGGTGGGGAATGAGAGTAGGGGTGAGTAAGAGTGATGATGTGGTGAAGGTCATTCTTAAAAAAAGGTAGATCCACAGAAAAAGGAGTTTTAGACAAACAAATTTAACTGTGGACATTTTTCACATTGACCATGATGAGAGTGAGCTATTTTGAAATTTTTTCCTTTTTTGTTACTTTACAGTTTATAGTTATATGTATATTATAGGAGAAACGAAATTTGACTTCAGCAGTTTGTAGCTCAAGGCTTAAATGATATAGTAGCTGCAACAAGAATAAAAAGAAAAATCCGGTCAAGAGAGAAAAGGGATGAAATAAGAGCAGTGGGGAAATCCTGATTCACAATAATTACCCCAAAGATCGAAGATGTATCAGCAAATTCTTTTCCTTATGGATTTAGGGTTCTTTATATTTCCATTTTCTCGAATATTTTAATAAATTAAATTTTTGTCCAAATTCTACATTTTAAAATTTATGAAGTGGTGCTTGTTGCGTTTTTATAGTGTTGAGGCTATGTTCCTGATGCATTCTGCAAATTATAGAATTAAAAAAAAAAAAAAATTCCAAGAGATGTCGGGTATCCCAATGCTCCACTACATAAGAAGTGTGGTTTTTGATGAATATGCTAATATCTGCTAGGCGTTATTTTTTTTTTAATCTTTATTGGTGTGAACATATGCAATCTAGGCAGCCATTACTATGATATATTCCTCTCCTTTGAATGGAACACTTTATTTCTTGTCTGTAAAGTCAGTGGCAGAGGCAGAAGGTGAGGTTTCACAATTCATTGGCTGTCTAGAATACTCTAACTTGCAATACAACATGACGTGGAGCTTAAATTAAGATAAAAATAGTTTGCAAGGGGATGGAGTCTGGGTGGTTTGAAATTTTACCCTGCTTAGCTTGCAGACTGCTCCAGTTTAATAACAAAGTACTTTGTTATTCTTGTTTTTAGTCCTTTGATCTAGTTGACATTTTTTGCAACTTTGGTTACATTTTCTTCTCCAACGGCAGCCCGGAGTCTCATAGGTGGCCCACAGTGGGGAGGTACAGAGTTGACATTGCATCGTTTGAGTCATTAGCATTACCTGAATTACAGGTGGGTTAAGTCAATACAGTATATATAATCCATATGTGAGCTTAGAGTGAACTTTCTGGATGAATGGGTGTAACTTTATGGTTATTGAATAAAAGTATTTGAGTGGTTTTCTAGTGACTCAGGCTACATGGTCCCTTTACCAGGTTAAGGAAGACACCGATCTGTTTATAATTGATGAAGTTGGTAAGATGGAGCTGTTCAGTTCATCATTCTTCCCTGCCGTATTAAGAGTGCTTGAATCAAATATCCCACTATTGGCTTCTGTGCCCATCCCAAAGTCAGGCAGAGATTTACCTGGAGGTGTGTTCTACAGACTTCTATAAGCTGCAATTTTTATTTTTAACTTTTAGCCAGTATAGTGTATGACATGTATCCATCAAGACCCAATTTAAAAAACCATTACTTTTTTTTGATTGGTAAAAAATAAATTAAAAAAATCCATTATTTATATAATGTAAGGAGTAAGATCAACTAATTCTGGCTCAAAAGCTCTTCCATACAAACTACTGAAGTTTTTGCTGGACTATTATTGTGCAAAACTCAAAATTGAGTTAAAAGCGTGTTATGCGTCAACTAACGCAGTTTGATTGGGCTCCATTTCTTTATAGCTCAGTTTGAAGTTTTTATTGAAAGATGACTCTGAATTCAGTTTGAATTGTGGCAGATACCACTATGCTTATGATGATCTAGTAGCACGAAATTCATAAACGTTTTCTTTTTACAAAATTTAAATTAATTTGCATTTACATAATATTATTTGCTTGTTTCCGAATTTTCTGACTACTTCTCTTGTAACATTATTTTTATGACTGAATTTATATATACTTGCTATCATATATATGTGACTCAAAAACTTCATTATGAATGCAACTTCGATTCTGTCATTGTGCAGTTGCAAGGTTGAAAAACCATCCAGGAGCTGCCCTTTACACATTGAACACAAGTAACAGGGATACTATGAAGGAGCAAATTTATTCCCATTTGATACAACTACTACAAAATCGTTAGATCTTGTTAAAGTATGAGAGGCGAGCTTAAGCTGTCGAATCCCTTTGGGGAACATTTTGTTTTATTAGATATAGTGACTTCTTTCCAATGAAATGCAGTGATATGTTGGGATATTTGGTTTAGTTGTGTCGTGTTTTCCATAAGATGTGCAATTTTACTTATTCAGTTTGGTTTTTAACTGACAGGCTAAAATCAAGTGTTCACATTTTACTAGCTTCAGATAGCAAGTGAATGACCTTTTATCCTATTGTAATCGTATGTTTATATAAAATCTTACAAATTATTGTCAATTTACATTACAAACTAAGAGATGGAAAAGAAGAAGAGTAGAAACTCTTGTAGTTAAGCAAGTTCAACTAGGGCTGTAAGCAAAAACCGCCAAACCGGAAAATCGAATCGAAACCGCAATTTCGAAACCAGCGGTTTCGTGCCACGTGGACCCGTCAACGAAAT